GATAAAGTTTTACTGCTTTTTACGGGACAATAATAATAATAATAATATAAAACAGTATTTCCGTTTGAAGAGGGGGAGTGGGAAAGAGGGGAGGGGAGGAAATTTCATCGATTTACCCCGTGAATTATGTGAAAAAAATTTTTTGTTTCTTTTAGTAAAATCGTTTAAAAAAGTTTAATTTATTTTATTTTTATGTTAGAACTTTTATATATATATAAATTTTTTTTTTATAGAATAATAATAATTTGTTACAGTTGTAAAATATGATTTGCCGCCATTTTGATTTTTTTTTTTTTATAAATTATGCGTGACGATTACGGGTGCGAAATATTTATTACATAATTAATAAATTATATTTGTTGTGAATAAAGTTCTGGAACAATATCGAAAACGCTTGAAATATATTTTTTTAATCTATGAACTTTATTTGATTGTATGACGTCACACGTAAGCTCAATACGTAATAAAAAATTTATTTAAAATAACGTGTGACGTTGTAGAGTTTTTTTTTTCATAAATTTTGTTTGTTTTTGTTTGTTTTATTCGTTTTGTTTTCCAGACTGAATTATCGACATTTTTTTTTTTAAATCGAATAATAAATAAATAAAATTTTTTTTTATTTTATTTATAACAAATAGAAAACTAAAATTTATTTTTTAAACGATTTAAAAAAAAAAAAATCGAAAGAAAAAAAAATTTCTTACAACGGGAAAATTTATTATAACGTCGTAAGTAATATCGATAATAACAATAATAATAATATTTTACATAAATATCAATTAAAATGAAATATCGAAAACGAAATTCAATCTGGAAAAAATGGGAGAAAGAGAGAGAGAGAGAGAAAATAAGAAAAATTTATATAGAAAAAAAAATAAAAAGATTTTAAAAATTTAATAATAAAAAAAAAAAAATTTTTTTTTTTTTTCTCGAGATTTTAAGATGTGAATGTGATAGAAAGAGATAGAGAGAGAGGATAGGGGCAAAGGGGAAGAAGGGAAGAGTGAGAGATAGAGAGAAAAAATAAAAATAACGCCTAGCCTTCGGAAAAAGCCTTTTAAAATATTCATTGATTATTATTGAAGGTTACATCAATGTCTTATCCAGTAAAGATGTTTTTCCTCTTTAAAAAAAAATAAAATAAAAAGCAGAAGAAAAAGCAGAAGAAGAAGAAGAAGCACACCTTTGGGAAGTCAAAAAAAAATTTTTTTTATCGAATTTCGCCCTCGAGAAAAGCATCAAATATCCGATTGGAAAAAAGAAAAAAAAAATTATTTATGTACTTTTCTCTTTCTCTTCTTCTTAACTGTCAATTTAAAAATCAGTTTTTGTTTTTTTTTTTTTAAAGAGACGCAAAAAAATGGTAGGGAGGGAGGGCAAGAGGTGAGGGGAAGGGGGGTAATGGAAAACATTTGGAAATTAAAAAAAAAAAAGAAAAAAAAATTACTTAACGAATTTCAAAATTTTGTTGTTTTCTTTTTTTTTCTCTTTCCTCCATAACCAATTTTCTATTTTACGATTGAAAAAGGAAAAAAAAAAAGAAAATATTAAATAAAAACAAAATAAAAAAAGATAGAAAATCTGTAGTAGTTTTCATGTTTTTCCTTTTTTTTTGTCGCTGGAGGAAAAGATACTGTCGTTGTCAAAATTTTCAATTGAGTTTTGATGTTTTATAATTTTGTTTCTCGTATTATTTTTGAATTTTATCAAATCTATCTATCTCTCTCCCCCCCCTCTCTCTCTCTCTCTCTCTTTCGATATCTTATTATATCAAACTTTGATTTTCTTAAAAACGTTTTCCTTTTTTTACTATCTTTGTAAAAAGAAAATTTTTTTCGCGACGTGGATTCGAATAAAAACCGTCGATTTTCATTTTTTTTTGTTAATAAATAAAATTTTAAACAAACATTTCGACTAAAAAAATTAAAGGATAACTGTCGGGTAGTAGTAGTAGTAATCTATAAACGATAGCAAAAAAAAAAAATTTTCATAACATAAATAAAGGAGATCGTTGGAAAAAATAAATCATCCAGGTTTTTTTTTTTATGTAATTCGTTTCGATATTATTAATATTCCAGAAATATACATTCATGGGATTATACGTGACCTAAGTTATCAATATTCAATGTCTGCATTATTATCATATTTTGTCTGACCCATATATTAAAACAATAATAATAATAATAAATATTTTCACAAAAGTGTTCATTTTATTAATAAAAAACAATTTTTACGAGGTAAAAAATATAGAAGGAGGAGGGGAAAAACAGTTTTTCAAAATTTCATTTTTCAAAATAAAGTAAAAAAACCAAACAAATTTAATAATGATGGTTACAATCCTGGATACGTCACTATAAATTTTGAAATAAAAAAAATTTTTTATGCATCGATTCAACGGAAATCATTGCGGTTAATCTGTTTTTTTTTTTTTTTTTGAGGTTTTTGTCAAACAACCCCCCCAAAAAAAAAAAAAGATTTTTTCGTTTTTTTTTTTGGTAGGAGTGAATTTTAAAAGCCGCCATTTTGTAAAAAAAAAAAAGTTTTTTTTTTTTAAAGAAAGAGATAAAAAAAATAAAATAAATTTAAAATCGGATGTAAAAAAGTTTTAAAGAAAGTTTAAAAAAAAACAAATTAAAATGTTTTAATAAGTATACGTATGTATATATATTTATTATCATTAAAAATTTTAAAATTTTCCCATTTCCCGCCAAAAATTTTCACCGCCGCCTTGCTAATAATTTTTTTTTTCTCATTTCATTTTTCTCACTCTCTTACATTTCTGCCGTGTGCGCTTATTTCACCTCCCATTTTTTTAAAAAAAGAAAAATTTTTAATATTTAATACACATTACGTAATAAAAAAGTAGGAAGGGAGAAGAGGGTGGGGGGTAGGAAACCGTTTCAAAATGGCGGATTATATAAAAAAAAGAAAAAAAGATTTATTGTAAAAAGTGAAATAGATTTTGTTAATGAAAGTAAAAAAAAAAAATTTAAAATAAATGAAAAAAGTAAATTATTACTTTCCGGAGATTAAATTTGAGTATATCCCCTCCGTCTACTGCTTCAAATAGATTTGTAATTTTATATACGCGTTAGTTTTTTTTTCCCGAACAAAAAAAAAAAAAAGGTCTGAACGAATTTTTTTTTTTCCTTTTAATTTGCATTCTCCACCTCCCCCCACTCTGTCGAGGATTTCCGTGTAATTTCCCCCCTTGCCACCCCTCCCCGGTTTTAAAATTTTTACATTAAATGTCGGTTACGAGGAATATTTTTTTTATCTATTTGTTAAATCGGTTAAACGAAATTAATTTAATTTTTTTTTTTTTGTACTATTTTTACGACGCAGTAAAACTTTCAACTTTTCCTTCTCTCTGACTTTTCTCCCTTTTCTATTTTTCTTCTGCTTTTTTCTTCTGCTTGTATATATTTATTTATTTTTGTTTATTCCGTCGTCATCGATAATCGTTTTTATTATTATTACTACCAAGTTTTTCTCTCATTTTTTACTGACGCGTTTCTTTTTTTTTCGGAAATAAATTTTAAAAATAAATTTCTTTTTTTGTTGTTGTTTTTTTTTTTCCTGACATTTAATCACATCGTCGTCGCATTTTTTTTTTTTTTTTTTTTTTTACTGGTTAACATAACAAAAAGCAAACAAAAGGGGGGCGGAAAAAAAAAATTTACGTGGAACGGGCACCGTTATCGTAGGACAAATAAATTTTTTTTTTTTTTCGTTTAAAATTCTTGTTGTTTACATTTTTACGGGAAAATTGTGGACAATATTTATTTTACCGTTGACAAAAATTATTATCCAGTTAATTAATTCACCTGTCCAATAAATAAAATCTTATCCAGTCAAACGACCCATTCGTACGCGTTCATTATTTTATACCTTATTTATGGAACCTGTCAACGCTTTTGCTTACGTCTCTTGTTAGAATTATTATTATTATTATTATTATAATTTACGCTCTTTTCTTCTTTCCCTTTTTTTTTTTTAAACAATTAACTATGTGAAATTTTGAAATAATAATAATAACAAAAAAATATTTCAAACGAAAATTTTATTCTTTCTTTGTTTCCCTTTTTTCCTTTTTTTTTTTTTAAAAATTTTTTTCGAATAAAATTAAAATAAAGAAAATTATTTATTATCATTTTTATTATTATTTTTTTTCGTGCAAAAAGAAAATAAAAAAGAAAGAAAACCGGAAACGAAGTAAAAAGAAAATATTGGTTTAATGATAAAAAAAAAAAAATTATGGCGGATTGGATAAATAAGTATAAAAAAAAAAGAGAGAGAGAGAATAAAGAATTTATTATTATTATTATTATTATTATGAAAGTCGAGAGATTTTCAAAATCTCTTATTTTAATGAATTTCTAGAATATTCGAATATTAATCTGGTTAATTTCGAATTCGTAGCAATTTGACGTTTTCTACGCGCGCGTTCATCCTTCACAAATTCTTCTTTTCTAACGTTTGTCTATGTCTCTTTTTCATCGTATCTCTCTCTCTCTTTTCCATTTCCTTTCCAGATCCTTTCACTTTTCCAGCTGTCTTTTTCTTTCTCCCTCTATTCGTCAAATTCTTTTTCTCTCTTTTTTTTCTCTTTTTTTTCTTTTCTTTTCTTTACATCCATTTGTCACGTTATTGACATTAAATTTTCTGAATTTTCACGCTTATTCCGTTTCCTTCCCCCTTCCCTTCCCCTTTCCTTTTCCCCTCCGTGTTCCCCACCACCTTTAACTCATTCCTTTTTTTATTTAAAATAATTATCATTATTATTTACGATCGTAATGTTTTTGGAGAGTAAATTAAAATCCTAATTTTGGCATTTTTGATTTGAAATATATAGTAACGAAGGGAGAGGGATGGGAGGGGGGGAGGAAAGGTGGTTGGAATACAAAAAGGGTAGGCGAAGGTAAATGAGAGTTCAAATCAATTATTCGTTTGATTTATTAGATATTGTTTGTTTTTTTTTTTTTTTTTTTTGAATATTAATGGCGTTTCGATGGTTTAAAAGAAGAAAAAAACGTTTTTACACTCACCCACGTAACCACCACGTGCGTGATCGTTCGTTAGAAAAAAAATAAATTTTTACGTTAATAATTAACCCCAAACCCCAACCCCTAACGTGACGATGATAAAATGGTTTGTTTTGACTATTTTCTAGAAATTTCTAATTAAAAGGTCACACATAAAACTAATTTAATTAACTTTGTAAAATTTGTCTATGCAAATAAAATTTAAAATCATCAATGTAATCAATTGCTTTGACTCACCGTTTGTCGTTTGTCGTATATGTGTATTTAAAATTTCAGTTAATTTTCACAAAATTTTCTTTCTGTTTTTTTTTTTTTTTTAACGACTAGAAAATTTATTTACAAATTTACCGTCATGTTTTAATTATTTTTTGTTTTTCAGTGCCTGATGGTAAACCAACGGTTACAATGGCTTACAACACGAGTTCAACATCGATACACATAAGTTGGAGAGCTCCCCATAAAAGTACAATACATGGAGAATTTCTTGGTTATAGAATATCGTATAGGCCGAGAGAAAAAGCAGACGACGATTTTAAAGAAATTTACATTAGAGATTCAAACGTGGACGTGAGTATTGTTTTAAAAATAAATTTTTTGGGCGGAATATTTTTTTTTTTTTTTTAATGTGATATATATTATTGACGATCATATTGTTTATATAAATATTATTATTATTATTATTATTATTATTATTATTATTATTATAAAAAATCCATTTTTCAACAATTCATCCTTTTAAAAATAAAATAATAATAATAATAACGTATTCGAATATGATAAATACATGAGTGGTTTTCGAATGATATATTTTTGTTTTTTTTTGTAATTCGTCGATCGATTACTACAAGGACGCATTTCCGGTTTTATAGAAAGAAAAAAAAACGGCAACGTCGCAAAAAATTTCCCGCAGAAGTTTTTTTTTTTACCAAAAAATTATTTAAATTCTAAAACGGTCATTTTGTTTTTTTTTTTTTTTACTTTTTTTACGTCTCCCTCAAAAACGAACATATCCGGATGTGATGTTTCTGGATAATTCCATTTTACACGTTAATAAATCGAAGAATTTATTATCATTATCGTCATCATCATTATCATTAAAAAAAAAAAAACGATAAAACAAAAAAAATATTAATTCGATGAAAATTCGTTGGAGAAAAAAAAGAAATCGAGGGGAAAAGAAAAACGATAAAAGAAAAACGATGAAAAGATTTTTTTTTTGCGTAAAAAAAACTTTTTTACCCCTTCCTCTCCCTTCTTACTCGCCCCTCTCTTCATCCCCGCCTCCCTTCCCCCACGTGAATTTTCAGAAAAAAAAAAAAGAAAACCAAAGAGGAAATTGAACATTTGCAAAAAAAAAAGATAGAAACGATATAGGAACAAGAAAAGTCTGAACAAAGTAAAAATTGTCATTTTTATTTTTTTTCCCCTCCCACTTTCCCTACTCCCCTTCCGCTTCTCCTCTTTCTCATCCTACCCTCCTCCCCTGATCGTTCGAGAACATTCTATCGTTTTATTTTTCTTATATATATATAAATTTTATTTTTTTTTAAGATTTATTGTTTGTTCATTTTTTTTCTTCTTTCACGTTTGAAATTTTTTTTTTTTCTTTTTCTTCTTCCACGTCTAAAATTTTTTTGTTAACTTTTTCTTTAAAATTTTTGTTTGAGAAAATTTATCATTTGTGAATTAATGATAGTTTTATTTAAAAAAAAAAAAAATGTCAACCGCAGAAAAAAAAAATTTTTTTTTTTTTTAATTTTTCTTACATTCACTTTAAATTATTTTTTCTTATTACACTTTTCTTTTTTTTTTTAATTTCAACATTTTATTATTATTATTTTTTTTACTAAAATTAAAATTTATAATTTTAAATAAAAAATATATTTTATGCCAATTACCTCTGTATAAAAAAAAAAATTTTTTTTTTTGTTAAACAGTAATTTTTACTTTAATATAATAATCCCGAACAGTAAATTGCGACCATTTTTATTACACCTCTGTGGCTGTTTTCTCATTTTTCTTTTTCTTTTCGTGGAAGAAAAGAGAGAGAGAGAATTATGGTATTATTATTACCACGTCAGAGTTTTGAAATTTGTTTTTTTTTTTTTTTTTTTTTTTGAAATCAGTTCACGATTATAAAATTGAGTCGTGGACATGACTTGAATTTTTTTTTTAAAATTCCTCGAACTTGCTGACTGTATTCAATGAACCTTTTTTCTCACCTACCCCCAACCCCCCCTTTAAATTTTCATCCCTTATTTTTTTTTATCGTTCGAAAGGGGGGAGCAACGTAATTATATGGTTTTCAACTTTCGGTAAAAGTAATTAAAATTCCCCTTTAAATGTTTTTCTGCATCGTAAACAAAAAAATTTTTTTTTTTTTACTTTCATTCACCATTCTTCTTCCACGTTCATTCTCTTTTTCTTCTTCTTCTTTCACGTTCATTCTCTTTTTCTTTTTTTTTTTACTCCAACTTATTTTTTTGATTTTTTATTATCCCAAAAAAAAAAATCTTTCCAGAACTTTCTTTCTATATAATTTCGTTATAAATAATTTTTTTATCATAAAATATTATCAGGTTAATAATAATAATAATAATAATTAAAATCGACTGGTAAAATCTTTTCTTTTTTTTAAAACCTTCTGCCACACCTAATTTTTCTGTCTTCTGCTTTTAAGAGAAAAAAAAAAAATTAAACTAAAAACAAAATTAAAAGTTTTTGTTGTTGTTGTCGTTTTCAATTATTTTCATCAATTACATAAGGTAAATATAATTTTTCCATTTTTTTTCTTTGTCACGTGTTCTTATGGTTGAACAAAGGAAAAAAAGTTTTAACGATGATGATGATTATGTTGAGGAAAAAAATTTTTTTTTTATAAAAAAAGGAAAAATATTTAAAAAATAATTAAATTAATTTATTCGGAAAGGTTTTTAGAAAAAAAAAAAATTATCAGAAAATGAGTAAACCTTTCGAACGTGTGTCAAAGTTTAAAAAAAAAAAAATTGGAAAACCTTAAAAGGTTCGTAGAATAAACTGGAAAAACATTTTTAAAAAAAAATTTTTTTTCCAAACAATAGAATCTATTAATAAATTTATGCGTTTAAATGCGGTTAAAAGGTTGAAAGAGAGAAAAGGAGGGAGGGAGGGAGGTAAGGGGAGTCGTTATTATCTATAAAATTGATTGAACTTTGACCTTTCGATTGGTTAAACCGCAAAAATGAGTTTTGAAAATTTCAATTGAATTCTATTTTCTATTTTCAACCTTTTTTTTCCTTTTTTTTTTTGGATTTGAATTTTTCCGAATGCACGTGTTGATTGATAAGATTGATAACGGAAATGATAATTAATTAATTTTTATTTTTTTTAATTACAGAGTCACACGATTCAAAATTTAGAAACTTTTACGCAATATTTAGTATCGGTTCAGGTATTTAATCCTGAAGGACCAGGTCCAAATGCAACCGTCCTTGTTATGACTGATGAAGGCGGTAAGTTTTACGTTTTTTTTTTTTTTTCAAATCTAAAACAGATGCTCCTCCTTCTGTCCCTCCCCCTCCCCCTTCTTTTCCCACTCCATCTTTTTAAAAAAATGGGGGGTGGGGAAATTTTACAAAATCAAAATTTCATTTAAAAAATAAAAAAATGTAAATATGAACCGTTTGAATGTGTTAAGATTACCGTTTTAAAAAAAAAAAAAAGAAAATTTTTTTTTAATGCTCGCCCCTCCCTCCCTGCCTACCCGGTTCCCTCCTCTTTACCCGCCTTCCCACGTTCCCCCATTTTCATAAATATATAAAAAGTAATTTTCAATGTGTGGAAAATTTTAAAACGTGAGGTGACTGAAATTCATATAAAAATAAAAATAAAAACTCCAAAGCCATTTTTAACGCGTTTTGATTTCTTTTTTTTTTTTTTTTTATCTTTTACCGCCTACCTGTTTTCCCCTCTCTCTCTCTCTTCACCTCCCCCCAAATAAAAAGTAAAATAAATTATGGAAACGAACAAAAAAAAAGTTTATTTTATTTTATTTTTAAAAAAAAATTTCGTTTAACTTTTAAATCAATCGGAAAATTTTCTCTCTTTCACCAACATTCACACAAAACATTTCTTAATTTTTTCTTTTTTCTTTTTCTTATTTTTCCTTCCTACGAAATCTCCCTTAAAACGTCCTACCATTTTACGCCCCCATTTTATTTCATACGAAAAATTAAACTTTATTTTATATGATAAAAAGGGGATGAAAATGTCTTCCTTCGTATCCCCTTCGCTACCGTAAAATAAATTTTAAATAATAAACCGAGAAAAAGCAAAGAAAAAAAAATTATTTAATTTTAGCTCCTTAGTTAATTAATTAAAATAATTTATGTTATTTATTTATTAACATAAAATTATTTATTATTAATTTTGTTATCGATACCCGTTTTGTTAAAATTATTACCTACCACGGTACCCGTTATTATTTCTTAAAATAATAAACCCGATTAAGAAATATTCGATGATGAGCCTTTTCGTAATCGATTCCCCACTCGAAATTTTTACAACATAAAGAACAACAACAACAACAGCAGCAACAGCAACAACAACAACAACAACAACAAAATAAAAACAAATTAAATAAACATGTTATTATTTTCTCTTTTCTAACACGTTATCAAATCTATTAGGTAATCAAACACCAATCATTAAATCAACTTTTAAATAATCGATAATAATAATAATATTTAATAATAATGATAATATTTTAATAAAATCGTTTTTAAACACGAAGAACGAATTTAAAAAAAAAAAAAAAAAACATTTAACGGAACACGACAAAAAAAAAAGAAAAATATAGCACGAGTTTTTTTTTTTTTTTTACGAGGACCGCCATTTTCCAATATTAATCTTATTTGATTCTAAAATCTCTGGAATATTAAAAATTTTATTAAATTTATCGTTTCTCGTTTATCAACGCATATACGCATACATATACATAATTTTTTTTTTTTTTTTTTGCTTTTAAAAAAAATTATTTGCATCATTGTTAAAATTTATGGTTTATTATTATTATTTTCTATTAAAAAAAAAAAAAAAAAACGGTTTAATAATCTATAAAATTAACGTGTCGGAGAGAGAAGGAAACGCCGACGACGCCATGTTCGAAACCCGTGAAATTTTCTTTTTTTTTTTATTAAATCAAATTTAATTTGAACTTTTGTCGTCGTGACAAAATCCAACCGACCCCCTCTCTCTCTCTCTTTCGCATACGTATATTTACCCTAATAATAATAATAATAATGAAATGAAATGAAAAAAAAAAAAAGGAAATAAAAGAAATGAAAAAAGTAAGTAAGGGTTGGAAAGTCAAGATAAGTAAATAAGGCTTAGTATAAAAAAAAAAAAAAAATTTTTTTTATATTAATATTTACACACTTTTTTCTTTCTTCGTTGCTTTGTTAAAAATATTTCAAATAAGATTTTTTAAATTAAGTTTTGATCCTAACTGGAAGATAACATTTTGGAGAATATCTGGACCAAAAACAGAATCCATTTTGTTTTTTGGGAGGTGGGAATTTTCGAATGATTAGGTAATGACGAATAAATAATATTTTGTAAAAATTTTTTATAAAAATTTTAATGACGTTGTTTTTGTTATTATTATTATCATCTCTCGTGTTTTAATGTTTGTTGGATTGTTTGTTTTCCAAACATTTATTCCAGGTTTCTACGCGT